GAGGTATATCTATTTGGAAAAGACTGTGGAGAACTTCTGCAAGATTAATTTAAACTAAAATTTGTTCTTACTTCATGAAGGTGTAACAGGTGCCACAGTCCAGACAGCTGGTGAGAGGCAGCTGGTGTCAACTTCAGAGAAAAAGCTATAAGTTGAATTAAATCTGAACGTGTGCCTAGTTCTTGACTGAAGTTCTCCCTTTAAGAGGTAAAGAAAATACAATCTGATTAATACTTAAGCAGGGCACATAAGTTATCTGCATAATAAAACAAATTCAGAACCACAGACAAAGCCACAAAAATAGCAAAGACTGGCTGGAAGGTTAAAATGACAGTACTTTAAGGTGAGCATGTTGGAGTCTTCTAATAAAACCCCAAAACTTGCATCGTTCAAAGTTGGAAAACTCCAATCTTTTGTGAATTACTGACGAGCAAAGAAACAGCATCTTCTGTAGCTGTAAGCTGTATGTATGTCCAGCAAAATATATGAAACATTTGGAGAGTCTTCCAGCTTCACAGTACTTGTGAAAATTATGACTGCTGCATTCAAGATTGAATCGGTGATTTTAGAGGTTTTGTTGTACAACAAATCACTTTCTCTGAAATCAATAAACCAAGAGCTTTCTTTTAAGCAATGGTAAAACAGCCTAAAAAATACACGTGGCTCCTTCAAGCAATGCTGACACTTCTAAAATTAATAACGTTAATTAAAACTACGATATATGCATGCAGTTTATTCAGCTCTTTCTGCTGCACACAGCAAAAAGCATGTATGTTAGTGCAGTTCCTTCACTGACAAGTCCCTCTCAGTCTTATATCTTCATGTTAATTACGAATACGAAGGGACTTGTTTCATCGAAGGGAAAATACTGTCAGTTAGACTCTCACTTAAAAGATTTTGTTTTTCCTTCCCTCAACACCCATTCTACCTTTAACAAAGCTGGAGTCTAACATTTTACTCCAAGGAGCTTGGATAACAATGTTCCTACATTTGTGTCAACAGAAATCAGTAAAAAGATACTTTCTCAGTATAATAATAAACAACTCTTTCTTTCCACTGACATCTTTTATAGCTACCCAAATAACACTCTGTATGAAGACAAGAAGTGTATGTGTATTCATACAATTAAATAGAAGCATGTATGCACACATTCATATAGTCATACACACATATGTTAATATAGGTACAAAACCACAGATTTAGATAAAAATATACAGTTAGAGCTTTTAGCTAGGGATTCTCAGTCTCATGAAAGTAACATAGAATTTCTTTCTCCAGCCACCTCACCTTCTTGCATAAGCCTTAGCCACATAATCTGCTGTTAGTTTGTACTGCCAGAGCACACCCATGTACTCCATTGCAGGCCACAGCTGAATCCGACTGCAGAGTTGGATTAATGCAGCAGGGTCCAAGTGGTTGGAGATGGCATCTTCAGGAAACCTTTCTTCTGTATGACTAAATTTAAGTCCTTCAGCTCTCAGTTCTGAATGTACAGCTTTCAAGAAATTCTTTAGTTGGCCTGTTTGACAGAGTGTAAAATGCACATAAATGCTATGTACTATACTTCTTGGCAACAAACATATCCTTCCAATTTCTATACAAAAAACAATGGTGATGGCAGGAATCATCCTGTTAGGCTCTTCATAAGTGTTACGTACCAAGGCTAACATCTTCTAAATGATTAGCTCTAAGTATGAGACCATCAGCTTGCAGCAGTGCTTTTTTCATCTTCCATCCAGTGGCAGCAGTCTTCAGACAGCACATTTTTTCCTGCCATCTGCTTTCTCCAAAGACCAATCTTGCCTCTAAGATGTTAAGTGGTTTGCTGAGAACTTCTACTAGAGAAAAACATTCCATGCCCACTTTATCCTGGAAGCATTAAAAGGACATTTGAACATGAGACAATTTGTTTCAGCAGTGCTAACAAAATAAACAAAATCTGTGACTACAGTTAGAACTTCAAGATTTCAAATTCAAATGCATGCAGCTGAAGTACAAGTTCTGATAAACCAACTAGAAAACACACATACAGCTTAGCAATTCTTTTGCAGCTGTACCCAATATAGTAGGAAGACAGAAACTGAAACAAATTGGCCACAATTCCTCCCTTACAAGTTCTTTCTTTTCTGTTGGTTTTTTTTTTTTTTCCATCCTTCACTAAGATAACATGTAAGTAATGAAGACAAACAATACCTCAACATGGCAACTCACCTAAACTAAGGGCAATAAATCCCCAAACACAGATACAAGTTGGGCAGAGAATGGCTTAAGAGCAGCACTGAGGAAAAGGATATGGGAGTGTTGGTTGATGGAAGACTCAACATGAGCTGGCAATGTGCACTTACAGCTCACAAGACCAATTGTATCCTGGGTTGCATCAAGAAAAGTGTGACCAGCAGGTTGAGGGAGATGATTCTGCCCCTCTACTCTGCTCTTGTGAGACCCCATCTGGAGACCACGGCTCTTCAGCCTGGAGAAGAGAAGGCTCCAGGGGGACCTCACAGTGGCTTTTCAGTATCTGCAGGGAGCCTTCAGGAAAGCTGGGGAAGGACTTTTAGTAAGGGCATGTAGTGACATGATGAGGGGAAACGACTTAGAAAAGAGTAGATTCAGAACTAGATGTTAGGAAGAAATTCTTTGCTGTGAGGGTGGTGAGACACTGGAACAGGTTGCCCAGTGAGGTTGTGAATGCCTCTGCCCTGGAAGTGTTCAAGGCCAGGCTGGATGGGAGTTTGAGCTATCAGGTCAAGTGGGAGGTGTCCCTTCCTCTAGCAGGGCATTGGATGATCTTAAAGGTCCAACCCAAACCATTATATGATTTTATGAAATAAATAAATAAATAAATAACCAGAAACTACCATCAGTTAAAAGACAATGTCATTTGACCTCTGCAAATTAAATACATTTGGATATCTAGAAAAAATCTCTTAAAGTTCTCAATAAGCACTGAACATTCTTGAGCTTCTCACAAAATAATTAGATGCATTTTTGAACTGTTGTATCTTTGAAAAGAAGATCTGTAATGATGTAGGTCAAATTACACCAAGATGAGCAATTAGCACATCTCCTTGTGCCCTGCTTTTAAAAAACTTCTATTCTCTGGAAAGCAAACTAAGTTTTTTTATTGGATGACAATAATTGCTGAAATAACTGAAGAGAAAAAAACTTGTCAAAGTTAAGAGACGTTGTCTTAGTAAGTCATAAGTCCCTACTATATGCAGTTGGGTAGGAATACATGTTCTATTCCATATATCCATAAGTTCACAAAGCAAGCAAGTGAAATACTGATATTCAAGTTTCCAGAACAAAGTTAAGTGGTAGTACTCTCATGCTCATGCACCACTGTATGTTAAGTAACTGCTATCTGTACAAAGCACAGTTAACAGAAAGAATGATACATGCTATGAAATAGGAGTATATTAACACATGCTCAAATTGCCTTTTCAATTAGCCTAGCAAATCCAAATTTATTTATTTATTGCTTGCATGAAAAGGAAATTCTGCAAAAATTTATGATTATATGAAAGTATATTTTGACATTGCTGGAAATCCAAATCTTTTGCAAACAAAAAGTACCTGTACCTTGAAAGGAAGAGGTCTTCCTAGAGACTTCTGTAAAAGCTTCATGTTGGCAGAAGTACCAGCAGGACTGGCTAAGCAATTCTGAAGTTGCTGTGAAACAGACTGAATTTCTTTGGAAACTCTTGGAAGAAAGACATGCATACAAAAAATCAATAAGTTAATCAATAAGTTAACTTAGGAGGTTGAGGGAAAAAAAAAAAAAAAAGGATGCATTGTTAAAGAAAGTTCTCTCTCTTATCCTTCCCCTTGAAGTATAGAAAATGAATAAAACTTCAAGATCATACAGCCAAGGAGAAGCCTAATGCTAAGAAATTTCAAAATTTTAATAGATTGCACTTACATTAGTAATGGAATGCAACTAATGCAACTTAGACAATAATGGCAAACAATGCTAATTTGCGATAGTAAATAGTAATAGTAAGGGGTAATTTACACAAACTTAGACAATTTTTTAACACAAATACACATCAAAGCCACTCACTTGTGCTGGTCTGATCCAATAAGCATCTGAGGAATTCTGTCAATTAGATGTTTCATAACCCAGTGCCAGTGCAAAGACAGAAGCGATAACCCTGGCGAATCCACTGTCAGAGTGTCAGAGACTGCCCAGAACCGATCACGCCACAGCAAGCAGTACAAAATCTAACAAGACAAAAAGATGACAGTTTTCTTACTGCTGAGCATGTTACAGAATACTTTGTAATTCACTCAAGAGAAAAATCAGGAAACACGGCTGCTTCCATTAACTTCAGAATCATGCAATGCTTTATTATACTTGGTAGCACACACAACCAGCACTCGAGTGTATGTCTGCTAAAAATACTGCATTGCTTCGCTGGCAGTTGGAACCATGCAAATGAAAAATAAGTAATTCCTGGACTAAGTCTAAAATGTTGTTGTTAGATTTTAACTAAACTATCTTTGTGGTACGAAAAGGGAGATGAGAAGTGAACCAATCCTGTGAGCTGTCTGCTATCCAGGTCAGCTGCCCAAGTCTAGGCAGTTGCATGTGAGCTGGATGTAGATACTGCCTCTACCATCACTGGACACTGGGGAAACAGACACTTCCTGGGTACAAATAAGACTATTGTAAACAAGCACAGAAGACTAGGTTATAAAGTTGAGAAACGGACAGCTATATCCCAGGTGTGTACATCTATAAACGATTATTCCCATACAAAGTACGTGCAGGGTGAAAATCCACATTTCACATAAAAGAACTGAGAAGACAGACCACAAATACAGCCACTGAAACAAGTAAGAGTACCATGTGAACATGTGCCTCATGTCAGGCATATTCTGAATGCCAGCTGAAGCACTAGCACCACAGTTTCTGAAAGTAAAAGGCATTCTGCAGTCTAATTGCACACTGCTTCTGTATATATACTATAAGAAGTCTACTCACATCATGCATATCATCATCACTTAAGGCCACCTGAGTAGATGTCACCCAGTGAAGTGTAAACACATCCCAGAGTTCAAAGAAAGCAGCGAGGTTGACCACAACTGCATGAGGAAGAGAACTGTAGCTTCCTGGATCTAAAATTTGGGGAAGAGAGGAAAAAAAAAATGTGACTGAATATTCCATCCACGTAAAATGACAAATAAGAGTTGCCTGTAAAAATCACTAGTGCTCCCTGTGGGAAAACAAAACAAAAAACAAAAAAAAAAAAACAACTGGAAAAGATCTAAGAATCAAAGAAGCAGAAACAATCCTTTACCATTTACATAACTTTCTACTACCACTATGCATCCAATATAGCAAAAATCCACAATAGAAACACTGATCAGTTGAGTGCAACACATGAAATTCATCACTAAATGCTTCCCCTTTGTTTTAGGATTAAACATCCCATTTGAAAAAGGGACATGTCATACTTATAGCACCTATTTAAAAACAAGCCAAATTAACTGTATTTCTAATTGGACACAGAACCAAAAGAAACAGTGAAAAATCAAACTACCTTTGTGGAAATCTAGAGACATTCTTAAGGCACTAGTTCTTGGCTTCTTGCTGATAATTAAATTCTTTTCAGTGTAGCTCCTTTTTTCTCGGTCAAGAAACAATACTGCCCTGAATTAGAAATAAAGTTATTAGAAATCCAGCACTGTTAACTTAAAGCCTCTGCCTTATTGGATACATATATATATATATATATATCTTAACTATTATACTGAACTACAAAGCGATTTTGATATTTCACTGTATTATGAAACAGCATTCTACTACAGCATAACTAGCTGCCCGAATATGGTTTCTACAAAAGCACACTTCACAAGAAGCAGATTCCTAAATTCCCATTGTTGTTTCCTTTGCTGGTGTTAAGCAGATGCAACACAACCACTAGCAAGATACGTGAGCAGCTGCTTTCTTATACTGTGAATTTGTGTATCAGAACCTTTTCTTCTTATTAGGAAAACTCGTCCAAATCCAAAAGCAGGGCCATAAAACTTAAGTTTTATGCCAGAGATTTCAAAGTGCTGCTTCCCACCTTCTACACTTTATCCCATGTTTCTGGATTATCCTAGAAGTAATCCAATCTATAAAGAATGCTGGGAGCTCTACTCTCATGTACCAAGTGACTGCTCACAATCTGCAGCTACAGGAAGCAATAACAAAGAATGAAATGTCTGCCATGTAATTTAGATACTTCTACTGAAACCTGAAAACATATTTTCATAGATACTAAAGATACTAAGATACTAAAACTGTTCATAAAAGTACTGATAAAGGGCACTGGACAGTCTTTACGGGCTTTTTCATTTTTTATTTTGGAACGCACCGGTTTGCTACAGACTTCAAAAGGATGAGAAGCTGATCTGTGTGTTCTGTTTCTGTATCAAAGTTAATTGAATTTCTAATGATATCCAAAAACTGCACGTTCCATCTTGGGTCCAGAGGCATCACATGTTCATCTGCAAAGGCAGAAAAGACAGGAGAGAACAACAGAAAATATCATAGGGTGAAAGACTTCTGCTAATCGTTGTCTCTACAAAATCATTACAGAAAGAAATATGGAATCCTATGACAAAGGCAGAGTCTTAAGCTCTCTCACTCCAGACACAAAAACAGAAAAGTATTATGCTGACTACAGGTTCTATAAAACAAAAGCAGAGAAACTAAACTAATGAGTGGTCAGAAAACCCAAAAAGCCAGCCTGAAAACTCAAGTTCAATTCCTTTTCCTTTCACAGCCCATGCAAAATACCTAAGATCACTGATAGAGGGTCCAGTCATACTGTATGTATCTTTCACGGATCTAACAAGCCTTTCAGCCTGAGGTCCCCATAAGATACAGAAAGAAAACTGCAGACCTCAGCATGGTTTTAGATAGGCCAACACAATGAATGCTAGGAAAAAACAGGAGGCCTCAACAGTTCAGTCAGAAAGGTAGTGGATATATGCAACACTCTTAACAACATTATTACTTAATAAATTGGAGTTGCAGGATCTGGGTCACAAGATACAGTATCTGGATTCACATTCATAGCATTGATATCTAATTTGCATCAGATGAATACATTTAATTGCCATATCTGCAGTTCTCAACAGCAAGAAAGGCTTTATTCTTGTCTCTTTTCCCAACAAGAGTAATGTACAGTTACAATTTAACCTGTTTTGTTACACACACTTCTAAGAAGCATTGCTGTGTGTTCAAAGAACAAATAAAGGAAGCACAAATCTCTTTTATCAATATGATTTCAAAAGTACCTGTCATAGTAGGCTGAAGCAACTTGATCATGTTACTGATTCCAGATGAGAGGGGACTGGCATAGAAACTGCCAAGGGCTACAGCACCTGCTTCCAACTGAATCCGTACTGGATCTGTAGGTGAGGGAGTATGCATGTTAAAAGGAAAGTGTTTAGTACAAATTAATAAATATCTTCAATCGAGCCAGCACAAACAGTCTGAATCCCCTCTGTGCATGAACTCTAGACAAATGCTGGTTGCTTCAACAGGCCTTAAATGTAGTCTGAATAACTAATGTCCATATAACTTCTCCATAAGTTTAATACAATTAACCTAATCAAGCAATGAAGACCTCACCTCAGCTGCTGCCCTGAATATTCAGGCAATATAGTTTCATGAAAGCCCAGTTTTGCAGTTCCTTAACTTTCTAGCCAACTGATTCAACATGTGTATTTTAACAACAAATAAACAGAAAGTAATTTACTGTTACTACCAATAAATACGTGAAGAGAATGTCACATTTTCTTATATAAGCCAAGAGGTATCCAAAAGTAACTAGTTCAGAAGCAGCAAAAGTTACATGCATACTCCAATAACAAAGGCAATACTTGCAGCCCCCAAACTCCTCCTATCTCCAATATGCACAGCCTGTTTCTCTCTCTCCACAGAGCTTCAATATCCTCGATGTAGGAATGGAAAGCTGAAAACCAGTTCATGGTTCAAATGATCTGATTCCAGACCATTTGAAAGTTCTGGATGTTCTCATGGAAGATTTAAGATTTGTGAAAATACAATAAATCAGCCTGGAGGCAAAAAAAGGAAGTTGAATCATCACATACCAAGCACTTGTGGTAGACTTTTGGCTAAGAAATTAAGCCATTTAACTCTCAATGTCCAATCTTGATTGGTTGCCTTTTCTATGAATAACTTCACTGAAGCCTGGAAAACTTCCATTTCATCCACCCAGTCTGCATCTATCTCAACAGCATTGAATCTGAGATTCTCAGGATGGGTGGACTGCATGATTTTCTGAAGATCTTGGAGAGTCAGTGGTAATGTCCTGAAACACAAAAAAGTGAAGATCAGCCATCGACAGCTCAAACTGCCAGTGCCACTTTGCAAGTCAAGCTAGTCACCATGTATTTAGGGAAGAAGTAAGCAATGAAATAATCTCTTTTCTTTATTTACCTGCAAAGCTGTTTTCCAACTTTCCAAATCAGTTAGTTATCTACTACTACAGACTCTTTATTACCAAAAATTTATGTTAAATGTCAGGAGTGAATATGTACAACATTCTGTAATTTGATCTATGCACCAGAATGACGTGTGAAAATAAGATACAAAAGACAGAAAGAGGAATTTCACTGATAAAAATACCCAGCATGTTACTACATTAAACTTTAGAAGCTTGTTCTGTCACAGTACCTGCCCACTAAGCAAAGCAGATAGGCAGGCAGGCAGATTTTGCACCACTGTTGTGAGAAGAATTGCTACAAGGTACAAGAAATCATTACAAGGTACAAGAAATCATTACAAGGTACAAGAAATCATTACAAGGTACAAGAAATCATTACATGAACTCTGTTGCATGGCAGTATACATGTCTAGCATACAGCTCTGTTGAAGGAGAAACATTGTTCTTTCACATGAAGTTACTAGATCTACAACACCTGAGGAAGAATTGTTTGGATAAAAGTGAGAAACACAAAGGATCATTAATATATTTACAATGAATTAAAAACTTCTTTCATCTCACAAGGGAACTGAGCAGTTCCAGTATTTACATTCACATTTTCTGCTAAATGCCTACTTCCTAACTTAATTCAGAATGAGTAAAACGTTCTTGTTGAAAATTGAAAGATAGAACAGTGCAAACATTTTGTACTGAAGAATAAAAATACAAATTAAGCTTGTAAACAGGAATTTCAGTGGTATCATGACCAGTACTCTACCCATACAATTTGCTCAAGACAAAAGATTGGTGATAATCAGATCACTAACATTACTCACATATCTGGTATTTTTACTCATTTATTTTGTTAAAAAAAAAAAAACAGCCTACCTGCAGTTTTTAAGGTTTAATCTATTCAAACAGTATATTAGGACCTGTCCATCACTCCGTACTGTTGAAAGAAGCGAGTCTTCAGCTGTAAACAGACCCGTAGGTAGGGAGTCAGGCCACAATCCCATTGCAAGCAGAGAGTCACCCCAGATCTCATGAGAAGCCAGAGAAGAAACGTGCTTCATAACTAATTCTAGCACAAGCTAAAAAACAACAACAAAAAGAACAAACCAGGAAAAAAAAAACAGTTTAGAATTATATTGAAATACGCATTCGAGTACAATATCAGCAGGAGTTCTAATTAATATGCATTTATTACCAAATGTTATAAACCAAATGATCTATAAACACTATAATATACATGATGAAATATCATAACATTTTAACGTTGCAAAAAGAGTGAGTCACGATTTACAAAATGGCCAATAAACCAAATGTATTTATCTTCTGGAGAATATCTCAAATAAGAACATACAACTCTCATCTGACTTCTGTTAGAATCAGAATTGTAGAATGGTTTGAGTTAGAAAGAACCTTAATGATTATGTAGTTCTAATCCTCCAGTCATGTGAAGGGACATCTTCCACTAGATCAGGTTGCCCAGGGCCCCATTCAACCTAGCCTTGGGGAACACACAGTTTCTGTAGACAACCTACAAGGGCAGTGAGGATACTGGAATAATTTCTTTACTGAAGTCTACTCTACACCTACCCTCTTTTAGTTTAAAAACCATTATCCTTTGTCCTATAACTACACTCCTAATAAAACGTTGCTCCCATCTTTACTACAGACAGCCTTTAGGTAGTGGAAGGCCACTACATGGTCAGGGCATGTCAAGGTCCCTTTGAAAGGCATTGCTATTCTCCAGCATGTTCACCACGTCACTCAGCTTAGTATCATCAAACATGTAATGAATGGATAAGCAACAGCTGAAACTCACTGCGCTTTACCCTTCAACAACAAAAAACTACTTCTGGAGTTGCAGTGGATCTGTTACATGTAGAACTGTACTACTGCTTACACTAGAGCTAAAAAAAATCTTAAGTATCTAAGAAATATAAAAAATATTCCAATGACACTTAATCAAGCTTAATAATCACCTAACAAACACCTGACAGAATGTTTAAAAATGGCCTGGCTCATCTTTCTCACCCTTTCAAAAGCACTATCTTTATCAACCCCCTGTTCAGGCACTTAAACAAAACATATTTCTCAGAGCTAGTCTTTGAGATCCTCCATTTTCTATCTAGGCAATGCAAGAAGAACCTTCACATACAAGATTTTTACCTTCTGGTTGCTCTGCAACTGTTGTGAGCGGCCATAAACTTCCCAACAGGCTCTGTAAAAAGACTTCACTAATCCAAGGCCTCTTTGCATCTGCTGCACAATTAACACAGCAGCCTGGAGCAAAGGTGACAAAGATGATACAGAACCTGAAAGATACACAACGTTTAGAATAAGAAGAACATTTAGTAATTGTCAACCCTTTTAACTCTGGGGACAATCTCCATTTTTGTAGCCTCTGAATATGATCTGACTGTACAAATCCTATTAGCCCCTCAGATTTGAATGGGTTCTTCCCAAGGTTAAGAAAAATCTGATTAGACTAAATTACCATATGACCAACTCAAAAGAGAACATCGAGTAGCTGAGGTGGTGAATGAAACTTAACTGCCATCTAGCTTAAAAGAACAATGTGAACAGGCCTTGTACAAACCCTCCATTTTGCTGATTTGCACTCAGAATATATTGCCTTCCTTCCAGTAACAGACAAATATACATATCATGCCAGTGTCTGATGTCTCCTAACAAAGTACACTCAGTCCCATTTGTATTTATTTATTTATTAAATGATTTGGGTAGACTTCCATTCCTGAGAATGAAAAAA